GAACACGTTACCACAGAATTCACTGGGCAGGTGCACTGAGCTGGGGGAACACAAAACAATTTCTTTCTAGCAGAGAGAACTATGCTGGAATTTCACATCTGCTTGGAGTTCTGAAATGCAACAGCAATGCCCATGAATGTAAAGCTTTCATCTAATTAACAAGTAAGTTTAATATACTGGTATTTTTTCTTTAGAGACTGTTCTCCAGTTTGGTACAAAACTACTTGGTAACTCTATATCTGTTTTATATTTGTTATATTTGACAAAAAAAGCTCTGGTGTGGTTCTCCCAGGTGCTGGAGGGTGATTCAGCCATCAGCTGCATACATGGGGACATGGGGCAGCCTGGGAGACTCTGCCTCCCTTCCCAGGGTGGGGTCATTTGGGAGGCAGTGAAGTGGCCACCAAGCATCAAAAGCTCTTCGAACAAACAGACATCTGTTCCTAACATGATTTAGAAGTTAAATTTGCAGTGGTCCAGGATCTGTTACCCTAAATCTGGATCATCTATTCATACTTGTTTAGTGTTTTGGAAGGAATTCCACAAACTGGGAAAGAAAGAACAGTTTGAGTGTTGGCTGCTGAAGCACGACCGGCTGTGACTCACAGCTGGTCACCCTCTCCTGCCTCAGGGCTTGTCCCCAGTCCAGGGTTTGCTGCACCAATGGCTCTCCTGCCCATGTGCAAAAATCTCCATTCGAAGGTACAAAGACAAAATTAATGGCAAGAAAGAACACCACAAATTCCGAGATTCAGAGTCCAGCCCTGTAGATATTCCGTGTGCAAATCATTTATTGATTAAAATGGGATTTGCAACTGCACAAGAAGAGAAAAAAAAAGCTGGTCTGAAAGCTTCCCATGAGACAAATAGAGCCTGCTTGAAATTAGGTGTGATTTGGTATTCTGGCCTATTAAATATATTAGATATGCAGAAAGGCAAATCAGGGACAAGCCACTGAAGTTCAAGGAGTTGTCCAACCTGCCCGAGTGCTCATTTAAACACACGCTTTTGTTCCTGAGAAAATTAAATAACTTAAGGTCCTTCTCTCTCCAACTCCAATTTTTATAATAGTGCCTCATCAGATGTGAAATCATTAATTAAAGAAGATTCCTCAATTATTCTCTGTGACCTGTCACAGTTACTTGTTTAGTCAGCGTTAAGAATTCAGCAGCATCTTCAAAGGCTTTTCAAGACACCACCTGTGAACTAATTACACTGAAGGAGGAGACGTTTGTAAGTACCTCCAGCTCCTGGTGCTGCCTGACAAAATAGATACCAACCCTGGCCTTAATTTTTTTAACTTTTTGTAGCTAATTCTACATGTTTTAAGCATTGCCACTTCAAATTAGGAAAGTAAATCCCCAAATGTAAAAAAAAGGGCTCCAGCAGAGAAATGCATAAGTGTATCACCAGGCCCTCAAACACTGGGTGGGTTTGCAAATTATGTCTGAGATGGTTTGTCTCCTACTTGGAACTGTGAGGGATCCTTAAAGACCTTCGGGATTCCTACAGATTCCTCAGTTCCTACAAAAAGTAACTTCCTAGTTTGGGCTTTGAGAAAGATCCTGGAAAATTCAACAAGTGATTTTGAACAGCCTGCCAGTTGTTTACTTTGATTTCTGGGAGATCCTTGACCTGCAACTCTCCCTCCTCTACCTGCAGTTAAATGTTGACTCAGTTTGGGGTGTTTTCAAAACCTTTGGCTCCATGTTGAAACCCTACAAAGGATCTGTGTCCTTCCAGCACCAAAACCTTCTCCAGGAAAAACATCCAGTGGAGCTGCACTAAAGTGGTAAAGGATGGTGGTAATTAACCAATTAGCTGCAAAGCCTTGATTAAGCAGGGGGGAGGCTGATGATCTGTGTTCTGACTAATGCAAGACACAAGACAAAAATGATTTCCTACAGATTATCCATATTTTGTGTTCCTGCAGGAGGGAAGTAGGACAGACAGACAGATCCAACAAGTTCTGTGGCTAAAACCTCCTGAGATGACTTAAACAAAGCCAGAAATTTTGTCCCTGCCCATGGCAGGGGTTGGAACAAGATGATCCTTAAGGTCCCTTTCAACACAAACCAGTCTAGGACTCTAGGATAAATCTTGTTTTACTGTCATATTTTACTGTTGAAAGCAGCTACAGATGAATAACTGGGGTTTTCTGTCCCCATTTCCCACCCCAACCTCCTGCCTAATGCTGCAGCACATGAGGGACTCTGTTTCTGACAATGGAAACTTCTGAATTGCCTCTGCAGCTGTAGAAGTTGGTAGCAACAGTGATGGTATTACCCAGCTATTTACCAAATAAAAGTTAGCCAAGTAGAGGGACTATGACAGTGTTATTTCATTATGCAATGCCAATAGAACAGTTCAGTGGCAATGCCACTGCTGATACCAGAGCTAAGTTCCAGGAAGAAGGACTCAATCCTAAATTTTCAACCATTTGGAGAACTTCCTTTGAAAAATCCCACCCCTTCTGTTATCTTTCAGTGGAACAGATATCTTTCAAGTGCAAACTGATCTCAGAGTCCTTCCCTCGGTCATTTAAAGTTGGACTAGCTCGTGTGGCTTCAAAACTATTACAACTTTAACAGCTTATAAATTTTCCCTCTGTTGCATTCAAACATTTTCATATTGTCAATTTTATATTGTATATGGCAAAATACCTCTGTATTTAGGACTGTGCCCTCAGAATTAAGACAGAGATCACTATAAAAGGATGTTATTCATTTCCATTCCCCCATCTTCACCCTGCTCCCAAAAATACATATGATTTTGCTCATTCATCAAAAATTTCTACAGCAGCAAGAATTCAAACACACCTCAAAACTGTGTTACTTGAACATCATTTTTTTAAAGTGAGAAAAGCTGTGCTCTTTGTTGTAGTGTTTACTTATGGAAATTAAACCCCAAAATGTTACTAGAGACCATTCCAACCAGAGCCATACAGCAGAAACCATCACTCTCTGAACAAAGCTTGGAATAAGATCAGGCTATGGGGACTTTTTAAGGAATTACAAACCCCAGTGTTAACACACAGACTGAGGTCTCCTATCACCACTTTGCACGATCGACATATCAATGACTCTTTTCTTCTTCTCAGCTTCTGTTAACTCTAAAAATAATTCCTTAGCTTATTTTCAACTGCTTGGGAGTCCAAAGCAAACCATGGAAAATCACAAGGAAAGGGGCTTTCATTGCAAGCACTATCAGCTTTTTGCAGTGAAGTCCATCCCTCCCCTCCTGCTGTTGGGTTTGCAATGGGGCGGTCCTACATTGCTCAGGGTTCTACTGCTGTTTGTGGTCAGCCACAGGAGATTCCTTGCACATAAAGGACACTGTGCTTTAGGGAGCTCAGGGCTGTTCAGGGCACAGGAGAAGGCAGAGAGGCAACACCTCTGTGCCCCGAGTGTCCCCACAGAGGACACCAGGGATTGCCCTTCCTAAGCCTTTAATTAAAAGCTACAAAGATTTATTTACTTGTCTTGCTACTCCTGTAAGTCTGAAGCTGTTGGAACCTCCTGCTGCCTGCAACTCTTGGTTTAATCTGCTTTTTTTAACTGATGAGTGGATCACCTCAATTGTTCTGCCTTTCTGGTGCAGTCTTTCCAATCATTTTATCTCAATTTGGGAATAAAATTTACAGTTTAGGTGAAGGTTTTGCCAGAGGAAAATTTTCCTTGTGTTTGTCTCCCAGATAATCTTGATCTGGCTTCCCAGACTCCTACTTGGAGGAGACCTGAGCATTGCACATCTTACTGCATCATGCACATGGAAATAATATCAACCTGCTGGGTCTGACACTGTAACTGCACCACGGGGAAACCGTTTAACGTGGATCAACAGAAGCTGGACCATGGTATGTAAGACTCCTGCCTGCCCCTTCCAAACCCTTTGAGAAGCATGTGGGAACCTTGTTACAGGCTGACCTGATCTGAAAACATCTTTTACCCAGCTCTGGGCTGGGCAGCTCCTGTTCAACACCCTGTGCTGGGCTGATTGAGTCCAGAAGAGACCACAAAGATGCTCAGAGGGCTGGAGCCCCACTGCTCTGGAGACAGACTGCGAGAGCTGGAGGTGTTCACCTGGAGAAGGCTCTGGGGAGATCTTAGAGCCTGTTCCAGTGCCTAAAGGGGCTCCAAGGGAAATGGAGAAGGACTTTGTATAAGGGCCTGAAAAGACAGGACAAGGGGGAATGGCTTCCCACAGCCAGAGGGCAGGGTTAGAGGGATATTGGGAAGAAATTCTTCCCTGTGAAGGTGGTGAGGCCCTGGCACAGGTTGCCGAGAGAAGCTGTGGCTGCCCCATTCCTAGAAGTGTCCAAGGCCAGGTTGGATAGGGCTTGGAGCAATCTGGTCTAGTGGAAAGTGTCCCTGCCCATGGCAGGGGGTGGGACTGGATGGGCTTTGAGGTCCCTCTGAGTCCAAACCAGTCTGTGATTCTGAGACAAGCTCCACTGAGAGTGTCCTGTTGAGGAGCAGCAACAGGAAATCCCCAAGGACATCGGAATGTACTATGAACAGTCAACCACCTGCCAAGCACAAGGGCAGGTGTTTCAGCTCTCCATGAACACCTTCTGGCACTGTAAATGGGAAGGAGCTCACAGCAGGCCCTTGGATCCATCCTACAAGTCACTCAGTGATGAGATAGCAAGAAATTTGTCAGCCTCAACCCAACATTCATGTTTACAGCAACACCAGGGGAGAGTCAGGAAGAGCCAGATCATCACAAGAGCACAGAATCGCCCGCGCGGCGTTAGCCAGGAGAGACCGAATGGCAGGAACAGAGATGCGGGAGGGGTCTGCTCAGAACGGGAGAGAAGAGGACAAGAAATGAAGCCTGGAGGGAAGACACACCAATGACAGCACAAAGACAGAAGGAGACAGTCCAGCACTACCACAACAAGCTGCCTGTAACCAGCTCCGGTCACTGACACGGCAATGCATTGGGATGAGTCCCTCAGGAGTACCCAACATCCTGTGGGAATGTGTGTGGATACTGACCTGGGCTTGAGACAGCACTAGAGGTAGTAGGCTCAATAATTTCTACAAAAAGGGAAAAGGAAAAAAAAAAAGAGAACATTTGGGAGTTAATCACACATGGAAGACAAATACAGAATGAGACAGCAAACAGTCATGCAACAGACAGCACAGTTTTATTTCCAGGTTGGGCTGGGCACCACCGGCCCCTGACAAACCTGCAGGCGACCAGACTCCTGTGCCTATGAACTACAGCAGAGTTGCTCTTTGCCCAGCTACCTTGTGTGAACAGCACCAGGACCATCACACTCCCAATATGCAAATATTTTTGCCCTTGGAGTTCTCGAGCTCCAAACCATTTCTCCTGGGAGGTTCTAAAACCTGGCTGGAAAAAACAGTTTGCTCACTTCATCAAAGGCAATTTCCTCCCATGAATATAAGTCAAGGTAACAATTTTGAACAAAGAATGTTTTAAAGCAATAGTTTTGTGCTTCAGTGAACTTTTAAGAAGGCACATCTTTTTAATTACTGAAGTCTTTCCAGAAGAAAACATTTCTCAGAAACATCAAACCCATTTGGAAGTTGTTTACTTCCCCCGGGGCAACCAATGCAAACAACAGGCAAAGTTAAGAGAAGACACAGTTCTCCTGCATCCAGCCTAATGAAACAATCACCTGTGGCTTTTCATTATAATTTGACTTCAGAATTCATTATTCTGGGCCTTTTCATTAGCTTTGAATAGTGCTATGCAAAATGAAATACCAGTCCCAATTAATCTTGCACGGAAGCAAACTCCCATCTCAATGCAGCAATTCAATACTCTTCATAAAAAAGGTTTAACAAAATTACCAAGCTCAAAAGATCATTGACCATATCTTGGCTATAACAAGAAACTAATGAAAAAAAAATGTGAGCAAGTTGACTACAGGGCTGCGCAGGGAATAGCTGAGCACACATACCGCTCTTGGCCAAATTTGAGGGGTTTTTTCCCCTTACAATTACTTTTCAGATTAATATGATGCAAAAGTGAGTCCAATGGAATAACAGACAAGTATTTTCCCAAATAAAAAGTTGTGACTTTTTACAAAGGCAAAAGTTCCTCTTGTTGCAGAATAACACCATTCTTTCCAACAATCAAATAAATTAACATACTCAATAAGTACAGTATTTCATTAAAAAGTAAAATACCATTCCCAAACCAGCAGGGATTGTACTACGATCGTGCCTCTTTGGATCTAGACTTAATTATAGGTGCTTAAGGTGGCATAAAGTCACATATTCATGGCATCATTGAGGCTGGAAGTGAAGGTGGTAATATCCATGTATTATTCTTGCAAAAAATCTCATTTTTAAATATATTATTAGATCAAGGAATTGGTGAGACGGATCTATTTCTAGTTTCAAGTTCTAAAACTCTTTGCAAATCTTTATTCATGAAAATGTTCAGGTCTGTAGAGAGAAAACAAAACCAGCTGGTTTTCTATAAGCACGCTCGGCTGGTTCATTAAAATGAAAATATATTAATGACTTCTTAGCAACACTGGGAGGCAGGGATGTGTGGGGAAGAGTGGGACTGGCTCTACTTCATTTTCCTGGGACCCCAGTCCTATAGTATCAGCACTGCTCAGATTTTCAGGGGTGATTGTGGAAAAAAAATCTGCAAGTATAATGGAAAACCATGATATTCTGTGCCACTTTTGTGACTCCAGTGGAGAATTCTCCTTGAGCTGAACTTTTGGGATTTGTTTTATAAAGCAGAGGAACAGCAACGTGTTCACAGCAGCTCCTGGTTTGCCCTTGACAGACTTGGGGCTGACTGTGTGCAGGACCTTGTGTTATCTCCAGAGTTGTCTATTCTGGGGAGGCAGGTGTGAACCAAAACCATCTCCTCAGTTTAAAGCAGAGCTTTAATTCAGGCTGGGACCGAAGAGATAGAAACAAGAACATCCTGGGCATAGGGATACTGGTATGGCATTCCTGGCTGCTACACATACATGGAAAACAGGAGATTTCCGTCCATATCTGGCCTGAATTTCTCCCAGTGAAGAAATTCAGTGAATAAATTTTCCCTAGTATCTAATTTAAACCTGCCCTGGTGCAACAGAGAAATGCACTTACAGGCCCTAGTGTAATCCCATTCCCAGGAGAAATGTATGCAGGAATCTCCACCCCATTGTCATGGGAAAAGGCAAAATGTCATGTTCTCTTCAAAATTGGTTTTGGTTGTTGGTGGTGTGTGTGTGCTGGATCTGAGCGCTGGAAATGACCTGAGAGTCAGCGGCTGAGTGAGTTTAAATGAAGTGGAAGAATAAGCCCCCCAGATTTGTAACTGCAGCTCTAATCCTCAAAAGGGAAACCTTTGGAGAATATAAGCTCCTAAAGACACCTGGGCAGGGGAGGTGAGGTTTGATGTCACGGACATTTAATGCTGCCTTTCACCAAAGGGAAGAGATGGTATCTAGAAATTCCTTTCTGATCCCAGGCAGAAAATAGCTGGCAGAGAAAAGCTCTTAACAAAATGGGAAACCACCCCATGAAAGGCTCCACAGCAAAAGGAGGCAAATTGCAGGGAGCAAAAGGAATTGGCTGTAAAGAAGCAATGCCTGGGAAAACCAGAACAGCATCTTGGAAAGGAAGCCACAGCATACATTCCCTGACCCCAGAGATCATGGAATATTTGAGGCTGGAAAAGACCTCCAAGATCATCCTGAATGCCACTATTCCCACTAAACCATAACATGAAGGGTTGAGATACCTCAGAAAAATGGGAGCCCTTCTGCTCACAAAGAAATTAAGCAGGACCTAAAAATATTTTTGTCTCAGTTTTAGCACAAGCTTAAAGGCTGAAGTTCTGCATAACAACATGGAAACAGAAAATGCCAGAGCAGAGTTAAAGCAAAATTCAATCAGCTCAGGAGGCTGAGGTCAGAGGGATTTAAATATGTTTGCACATAAAATTGTCAAAACAACAGTAAATTCATGGGGAGGGGAGGACAGCAGGGGCAAGAGGATTGAGAATTACAGACGTGTTCCAGGAGGGCAAGGCCTACAGCTATAGCTTCGTGGCATCCAGGGCCTCAGAAAATACGAGCTATTAAAGGATATAGGCAGGTAAAAATAAGCAGGTAAATAAAACTGGCTATCAGTTTACTAGAGGCCAATTACTTGTAATTATTTGCCTAGAAAATGTCCCTGTATATGATTATGGAACAGAGTAATTCATGAGCCCCTGTTTGCATGAGCAGAGGGTACAAACTGAGGGTGGATGAGTTCAGAAATACAATGTGGGGCTGCAGCTTTCCAGCCTTGCTGTTCTCACACTGCTCCTCACTGGACCCCAGGAAAGGAAAACCAACTCCTTCAGGAGAAAATCCCATTAATCGAGGGAAGGAATTCTGCAGGGAGCAGCCTGCAGTGTGAGGGGATTAGATCCAATGCCCAGGTGCCCTCCCAGGCCCAGCCTCTTCAGAGCAAAATGAGCTTTTTTTATACCCAAGAGATCACGGAAAACTCAGCAACAGTAAACAACTCTTCGTTTCAGGCTAAGCCTGAACAAACCAGCCAGAAGAGTGTCTGACTCCCAGATAAAAACCATCCAACCCCAGCTACCTCCTCTCCCAGGTCCCAGCCCATAGCACTCAGCATGGACATGGAGCTGCCCCCGGAATGCACACTGGAGAGTTCTCATGTCTTTTCATCTCAAACACCAACAGAGACAATGATCTTTTTCAGTTTTCTGGAGCCCCTCTCAGCTCGAGCTCAGTGCCAGCCCCTTGCTGGGACTGTGACAGAACAAGGCTTGAGCTAAAGCCAGGAACCCAATTTTTTGTTACAATGGTACCTTATTTTATCACCCCGCAGCTGGTCCAAAATGAAACTGTTGGGTTTGGTGCAATTAATACTGCTAAGGGGATAGAGGTTTTTAAAAATGACAAAATATGCTTTATTATGAGTAAAGTCATGTGCCACACTCCAATTCTGGTTTGGGGAATAAAAAGCAATGCTATACACAGTTGAGATTTAATGTAATACTGAATTTCTTCACTATTTTGGTGACAGAAAGTCCAACCTGTTTTACAATAAGGATAATGAACAGAAACTCTGAAACATTTTAATTGTTTTCTGTAGCCCTTGTGCCATTAGCCCCTGCCATTCTTCAGGGATCTGTCAGGGCAGGTTTCAGTTGGATATCAGGAAAAGGTTCTTCCCCCAAAGGGTGGCTGGGCACTGAACAGGCTCCCAAGGGCAGTGGTCACAGCACCAAGGCTGACAGAGCTCAGGGAGCATTTGGACAACAAGGAGCATTGGTGGGATTGTTGAGACTGTCATAAGGAGAACAATTCACAAGAGGGGAATACAAAAAGCTTCTTTCATTCCAGCCTGGACCAGTAAAATTGTTTGACTTTGATATTTTGCCTTCCCATGTATTGGAGGAATCAATAAATGGACCAACACATAACTGGCAGTTAAATACCAACTCATTAGTTAATTAAAAAAACTCACATAACTCTTTCCATGTATGACCTTTGATAATTAACAGAGCTTATTTAAGCTAATCTCCCCCAGGCTTCATCAGCTTTGTTAAAGATTAATGATTTATTGTGAAATACAGGTCTTTAAGTCCAGTGAAGCCAGAGCCTGTTTGAGAACCATGGCAAATGGAAGAACATATTTAATAAAAAATCTTTAGGGTGCAAACTAAGTGGATTGGGCAGAGACGTGACCTTAATTTATTCTGTGTCTTTCCCTCACCCTTAATATTTTGCAATTACAATTAGTGCTCTTCTACAGGTTTGAGTTATTACACCTTAATTGCCTGGTAATGGTTTATTTTATTTAAATGGTTTATTTTTTTATTACAGGATGATAAATATTTAATAGCTCAATGCCTGTGAGACATTAAAAAATAGTAATTCCTAGCTTGAAGTTTGAGGTCTGAAATTGCCGGGGAGTTTCCTCCCTCCTTGGGCAATCCTCCCTCTCCACCTGCAGCTGTTTGCTTTTGCTTGACAGCAGGTTTTCAAAAAATATTCAAATATCTTTTAGCCTGTAGAAAACCACATTAT